TTCCTTGAACTTTCTGTTCCCTACCCCTTCAATCTACGACACTCATTAGGGCCCTTGCCTTAGCCAACTGTCCATTTAGCTCCTGGACAGGACAAAGAGATTGGCTGTGAAGTACATCAATAACCATGCAGTCTGCACTTGTTCTGTTAAATTTAGCACACCGAGAAGATTCTGTGCTCAGTGGTGGATATACAAAGATAAATGGCCATGCTTCTTCACTTCCTTACAGTAGTTCTCTTTCCTGTGCATTTGACAGGATTTAGTGTCCAGTATTTTCTTGTCTTACACATGCTCCATCTGAAGATTATCCAATGACTTTAAGTAACATAAAGGTTGGAGACTACATAGAAATCTCTGTTGCATCTCCAGCATCTGGGGTCTTTACTATAAGGTAGGCTTCATCTTCACACTATTGCCCCTCTGGAATTCCATGCAAGGAGTCTGACCCTGCCTCACATTACCTAGCTTTAATGGCTCTCTGGAAGTGTGGCATAAGATTTCATGACTTTCTCCGTCTTGCAGTTTTTATGTCTGCCAAAACAGGACCACATCTGGGATGGAGCATGGCTCCTTTGGACCACTGTTGCAGCAACCTCTGTGCTGACTCTGAGGAAACATTTCTCTAGGCAATTGCTCTCCAGGAACTGGTGGCAGGAAAGTCTATTGCTGTATTTAATGAGGCAATTCCATGTAATCCATCTGGTAATCAAGAGAGGTTTATTTCTGGAATAACTTACAGTCAATAGGGATTGGTTACAGGATCCAGAAAAGATGAGGTACCATCCAATGGAGAACTCAGGCTTGGTCTCCCATCTAGATTTCAGGACCGAGGTATCCAGAAGAGCAAGCATGTATGTACCTTAAGAGGCTCCCTCTCGGCCATGCCCTAAGGGCAGGTCAGCCCCAGGGGCAAGTCATAGGCAGGTGTGGCAGTTACCTGCCATCACTCTAGGGACAGTGTTTCAAGGTCAAAGCTGGAACAGCTACCCACTACAGAAATCTATGGCAGAAGTGGATGGAGGCTGGTCACATTGCATCCACAGTCAGAAAACAGGGAGAAACAAATGCTGGTCAGCTAGATTTTTCCTTTCTATGCAGCCAGAAATACCAAATGTGGAATAGTCCCACCTTAATTAATCTAATCTAAATAATCTTTTAAAGACACACCCAAAGGTTTGTTTACATAGTGATTCTAGATCCTGCCAAGTTGACAGTCAATATTAACCACCACAAGTCTAGCCTCCCAATGTGGCTGTATTTGATCTAAAGTGATTGAGGTTAAATGAAGTCATGATGGTGGAACTCTGGTTTAAAGGAACTAGTGTTCCTGTAATAAAAAAACATCAGAGCCCCAGTTCCATCTGCCAAGTGAAGACACAGCAAGAGGACAGTCAGTCTTCCAGGCAGAAAGATAGCCTTCACCAGGACAGACTAGTAGACATCTTGACTTTAAACTTCCTAGCCCCAAGAACTTTGGAGAATAAATGTCTTCTTAAGCTATGCAGACAATGGAATTTTGTTATACAATTCAAGCTTACTACAGACGCGGGGTTTATTTAGAGGAATGTGAGATGAAAATCAGGGAGCAATGCTTCCATCTGCAGAGGATCATGGATGGTGTCTGACAAGACATGTTCTTTACTGGGCTCCTGCTGCACTCCACTACATGCTGTGTAGAATAAAGCTGGGTGTACTAGTCCTTGTCCAAAGTCTTCTGAGCTCTAGTGTGGAAGACAATGCTACTGGGCATTAGGAAGACATTAGCCAGGCAGTGGTAGTGCACACCTTTGTTCCCAACACTCTGGAGGCAGAGTCAGGTGGATCTTTGTGAATGCAAGGCCAGCCTGTTCTACAGAGAGTTCTAGGACAGCCAGGGCTACACAGAGAAAGAAACCCTGTCTTGAAAAACAGCTCACACATGATTGAGCCTATATGATAATGAGTATTCAGAGACGGGTAATGCCTGAGGGGTGCTCACCAACCTAAGACAGAGCACCTGTGTAGCCTGGGCAGGCGTCTCCATGACGGGTAAGGTGACCTGCTGACGTCCCACGCAACCTAAGTCAGAAGCTCATTTTTTAGTAAAAGGGGGACCTATAGGTCCCTGGCCCCCGATTAGGGTAACTGTTGCCTTGCTTGCTGACCTTGATATTCTCCCAATGCTAATTCCCTGCCGGGTTCCACCCTCCTGAATGCTTAAGGGAAGTTCCTTGTCTGTGTATCCTACATAATGGGCATTAACAGCTTAGATGCAAGATTGTAAAATGTGGTAGCGAACTTCTGCCCTCCAGGGTTCTCCCATTGTGCTGTAAGACCTCCTCCCTCCTTCAATAAACAGCATTTGACATTAAAAAAAAAAAAGCCGAAAAACAGAAACAAAGAAAGGGGAGGAGGAGGGAGAGGAAGGAGAGGAAGGAGAAGGAGAAGAGAAGGAAGAAGAGAAAAAGAAATTAAAAAAAAAAAGAAAATATATCAACCATTGGAAACCTCAAGTCAATCCTGTTCATTTAGTTTAAGAAGCCATTCAGAATTGCTCTTGCCAACTGCTTTCTTTCTTTACTTCTCTTTTCTAGATTATTCTGCAGAAACTCAGCACCAAGAAAGACTGAATGCACACAGAAATAGCCAAGGTCCTTCAGAGGTATAGATTTCTACTCATAAATTAATCTGAGTAAAACAAACAGGGAACAGAATATGACAGAGAAAAGCAGATGGGACAGACAGAAAGACAACCTCTGCCTTTCCAATCTATATGAAAATTAAAGAGTGAGTCTGGTCAATGCCCAGTTTCTTGAATATATCACACAGTCACCTCACCCCTGTCAACAACAGTAATGGATGCCAGGCTTCACTCCCTGGTTCTCACGTTCATGTCCACACTACCTTCCTGGTAGTTCCTAAAGGTCCAAAGCCTCTTTCAGCCTCCGTGTGTAAGAAGTTACAACTTTGATAAGCCCATCAGAACATTGATACGTAAGCGAGTATTTTACTTCATGGTCATTCTAAGAGATAACCTTAATGCAAGAATGTCACACAACAGGAGAGGAACTCTTTTAAAATTATTATGACATCCTCACCCCCAAAATCACACTCCATGAGATACAGTCACACTTCATCTTAGATAAACAGAATTTTCTCCATTTTGATCACCTACCTTATTCCTAGGACTTAGTTCCTCATTGCCTGGCTATTTCCAAAATTAAATCTATAAATAATAAACACGTGTATACACGGACATATATTTTAAATATGCTGCAGCATGAAAGCATGCCCTAAGAGATTTTTTTTTCAGTAATGAAAATATGCCTAGAAAAATATTTAAACTCACAAAAATCTAGGAATTCGTGTTCTAAAAAATCCATCACATTATTACAAAGTCACATCTTGTTTATTTCCTACAGTGCACAGCACAGTATTCAATAAATTTTTATGAAGCAAAGCTGAACCAAAATTGTAAGCATTTGCCGTGCAATTTGTTTAGTAACTGGGTAATAACACTACTGCTCTGAATACTATTTAGAATTTATTCAGGCCCTTCTCTTCTTTCTCCAAAGGTTTTTCCCTTGTTTGGATTTTAGACCTTCCTAAAAATCAGCATCACTGTGGAAGCCTTTTCAGTCTTGTTAAACAGGATGAGCAATTTAAACAGGCAGACTCTCCAAACTGCAGTGTCTGTGTGATACTGACATCATCTTTTCTCTCCTTCAGCTTAGCAGGCTGGTGAGAAGCTAAGGTCTCTCTACCTCATTGCCCATGCTCCTCATCTACTGCCAGGCATCAAAACAACTGTAGAAGAACTCCTCCAGACTCCTGATCCAATGCCTTCTGTCCTTTTAAGATCTGACAGATGGACACTCACCAGTCATCTCCTCCAAACATGGTTAAACTGACACACACACACACACACACACACACACACACACACACACACACACACGGCAGAAAACAGTGGTGAGCAAGCTTACAGCACTGAGAAAGAAAGGTCAGCAAGAACCCTCTGCATCTCATATGACTTAGCATGCCATTTGTGCTTCCTTCTACCAAGCAGGTCTACCTATGTTCATCTGGAACAACAACCACCCCTCAATTTGTTCCCCACAACTCAAAAGCAGCACAGCTTTCCTTGAATTTCTACCATGCTCCAAGGAAGCTTTATCCTAACTTTGTATTGCAAAGTTCTCATGGGAAGAAAAAGTACATTCTGGTATCTTCATGGGGTACAATCAGGGCAAAAGTCTATCAGTAGTGCACTTAGAGTGTGAATCTAAGCAGTTGGGTCAGTCAACTGGACGTAAAGGCACTGGGTATGGCAATGGCCAATTTTACATCCACTGAGCCAAAAGTTTCAAATCAGTAGAGATGAACTTCACTATTTTACAGTTTCCCACGATACAGATTGTAGCATGAATCTTAAAGAGTCTTATTAATAAAAACAAATCTGGGGCCAGTTATTGGGGTGAATGCTGGAAGATCAGAGAAGCAGAACAAGCCACAACTTCCTCACCTCGAAAGTTCCTCAGCTGATTCTGTTTCCTCAGACTGGAAACTTCTGTGTCCTTATCCCAATGGCTCTCAACTGAACTGCTGCTCAAAAGCCTGAACCTTAACCAGCTAAATCTTCTAGTTTCTGGTCCTTGCGCCTTATATATCTTTCTGCTTTCTGCCTCACTCCCTGGGATTAAAGGCTCACTTCCTGGGATTAAAGGTGTGAGTCACCATGCCTGGCTGTTTCCAATGTGGCCTTGAACTCACAGAGATCCAGAGGGATTTCTGCCTCTGGAATGCTAGGATTAAAGGCC